TGAATTGCTTGTGAAATGTTTATGTAGTAATTGATACTTAAATACAAGGATTGTTATGCATTCCTATCTAACTCTAACTGAATGCACATAACATTATATAACTCGTTGTCTCTCATAACTGAGAGTCACTTATGTAACGGACATCTCCTGATTATGTTTTAAATAAAATATATTTTATTAGTAGTGAACGCAAAGTCATTACTTTTTTAATCACTACAATATAAATCAATTTGAAAGTAATATAAAATAATGTCAAATTAGTTTAATTAAATTAATAAGCAAGGTTTAAATGTTACAATTCATTATATTTTACTTTATCTATACAGCTTATTATAAAAATTATTTTGATGAATCAATAAAAAATTATTAAATTTACATTTTGATACTTAAAAATAAAATAAATATTTTAAACATAAATTATATAACTATTAAAAATAACTCACAAATGACAAATTTAAAGTAAACATTTAATTTATTTTATACTATATAAATTCATTACTAGTGTTAAATATGATAATAATCAATATTTTACTTATCAGAGCTATTGTATTATTGCCACAAAATAATAAACTTGTTAAATTATCTTTACTAAATCAAATAGTCAGAACAAAAAGTTTATTTTGTATTAATTGTAATTAAAGGGAAAAATGTTATCGCACATTTATCTATATGTATGCAATAAGTACCAAGATTAACCGCAATCACTGTATAAAATGTAATATATTATTAATAATTTCATTAACAATTAATTAAAACTTATAATAATTAATTAAAAGTAATAATATTAATAATTCGCTGGTATTATTATTATTATTAACTGTAAATTTAATTAAAATCAATAAATGGTAAATACAATTTAACTTAAATTTATTAACAGGTTATCTATATTATTATTAAAGTTATTTTTAGTGAAAAAATATTTAACTAGTTGCTAGTTAATTTTTTAAAACTCACTCGTTCAGCTATTTATGGCACAAAGTATTTAATTTATTACCCACGTAAATATGTACCCAGTTTGTACTATTAAACAGCAATATATTAAGGACATTGATATTAATACAGTCAACTTTGTTTAATGTGAATTATACAATCAGGCACATCTAATCAATATTTTTAGAAATAATCCCAAGTTGATTGACATCCCTGATAATTTATTAACAAAACCTATATAAATAGGTGTGAAAATAATTCTAAATTATTAATTTGCTAAACAATATATAATTCAAGTCTAATATTAAATAATTAATATAACATAAATTATATTACAAAAATATATAACTATTAAGTTACTATAAAAATTATTTCCATTATTTCAATAATGATTATTAAGCCAGGTCGATATCTAATATTTGTGTATGGGACTCTTAAAACGGGTATTATTTTATTATAATTACTACTGTGTTATTATTCTATAAAATTTAATAATTGTTCAGGTCAACCAAATCATTATGTAATAAAGGACCCTGATAATGGTGAGGCCGATTTTGTGGGATACGCCGAAACTGTTGATAAATGGCCCTTGGTTATAGCATCCCTATACAATGTGCCATATCTTTTACATAAACCGCATTTCGGAAAGGTATGCAAACTATTTTTGTTTAATATAATAGACATTAATGTTAAAATAAGTAGCATGTATCAATATCGTTTTAATGTAATTTAATAAATTATCAGAAAATAACCGGGGAGATTTGGTCGGTGGACATAAATATGCGAAACAAAATGGACGACCTGGAGTCACATCCTAGGTTTTACAGGCGATTTGAGATACCGGTGCTTTTGGATGA